AACGTTTATTTATTTTTGGGACAGAGAGAGACAGAGCATGAACGGGGGAGGGGCAGAGAGAGAGGGAGACACAGAATCGGAAACAGGCTCCAGGCTCTGAGCCATCAGCCCAGAGCCCGACGCAGGGCTCGAACTCACGGACCGCGAGATCGTGACCTGGCTGAAGTCGGACGCTTAACCGACTGCGCCACCCAGGCGCCCCTGGATCATACTTTTAATGTCATGTCTAAGAACTCTTTGCTTAACCCCAAATAACCAAGATTTTCTCTTAGCATTTTTGTAATTTTGCTTATTTATATTTAGATCTATGATCCAGTTAATTTTTGTATTAGGTGTGACATTTAGGTCAAGGTTCATTTTTATGCACATGGATGTCCATGCTATGTTTTCTCAATCTTGTACTAAAGAGAGGAATAAAAGCATACGGAATGAAATAGAACAGTGGTTAGTATCTTTGGTTCTCGAAACAGATGAACCTGGATCTGATTCTGGGTTCCTTATATGTGTAGACTTTGGCAAGTGAACCTCTCCAGATTTTTACAGCTTGCTTTGGAGAGTTGCAGGAAGGATTAAATGTAACATAAAGTACTCAGCACGGTGCTTGATACATAACAAGCATGTAATAAATGGTAGCTACTACTCCTATTTTATGGCTGTTTAGGTTAAAGTTATTTGTATTCCTTGGAGTATTAAGAAAAGATGAGGGCTGTCTTTAATAGCTGTGTGCAGGGTTAATGAAAATGTTCTGGGTGAAAAAGTTTTATAAGATTTCTCCTTCCCCCTATTCCTTTTATTTTTCTTTTCCCCCTTTTCCTTTCCTTTCCTTTGCTTTCTCCTATCCTATTCTATTGCTCAGCTAGGTCTTCAGTGTTAGAATATAGCAAGATATAGATACGCAGATGTAGAAGTATTAGAATCCAAGTACTTGTGTGGGACAGGGAGTAAGAATTGCTAAAATTGATCATTTTTAAAAATTTATCTTTTAATGTTCATTTAAAATGAAATTAAAATTTTTTTTAATGTTTATTTTTGAGAGAGCGTGTGTGACTGGGAGAGGGGCAGAGTGAGGGAGACACAGAATCCAAAGCACACTCCAGGCTCTGAGCTGTCAGCACAGCGCCTGATGCAGGGCTCTAACTCACAAACCATGAGATCATGACTTGAGCCAAAGTCGGACACGTAACCGACTGAGCCACTCAGGTGCCCCTTTTTATTTGTTTTTGAGAGGTGGGGAGAAGGGGGAGCAGGGGAGGGAGAGAGAGAATCCCAAGCAGGCTCCGTGTTTTCAGAGAAGAGCCTAATGCAGGGCTCAAACTTACGAACTATGAGATCATGACTTGAGCCAAAATCAACCATCTGAGCCACTCAGACACTTCTAAATGTTTATTTTTGAGACAGAGAATGCACGTGAGCGGGAGAGGACAGAGAAGGGGACAGAGGATCTGAAGTGGGTTCTGTGCTAACAGCAGAGAGCCTGATATAGGGCTAGAATTCATGAACTGTGAGATCATGACCTGGGCCAAAGTCAAATGCTTAACCAACTGACCCACCCAAAAACCCTAAAATTGATTATTTAAGAAGGAGACTACAGCATGACATAATGTATAGAGAAGTTGAATCATTGTGTTGCATACCTAGACTAATGTAACATTGTATGTCAACTCTATTGAAATTAAAAAAAAATTATTTTTTAATTAAAAAAATTTTTTAAGTTTATTTCACAAGTAGGGGAGGGGCAGAGAGAGAGAGAGAGAATCCCAAGCAGGCTCTGAATTGTCAGTGCAGAGCCCGATTTGGGGCTTGATCCCATGAACCATGAGATCATGACCTAAACCAAAACCAAGATTTGGACGCTTAACCAACCAAGCCACCCGGCGCCCCCCAAAATTTTTTTTTTAAAGGAGGCTAGGGGTGGCTGGGTGGCTCAGTTGGTTAGGTATCCAACTTCTGCTCAGGTCATGATCTTGCTGTTCATAACTTCAAGCCCCACATCAGGCTCTGCTCTGAGCCTGGAGCCTGCTTCAGATTCTGTTTCCCTCTCTGTAACTCTCCTGCTTGCACTCTGTCTCTGTCTCTTTCTCTCTCTCTCTAAAATAAATAAGCATTAAAAATATTTTGCTTTTAATGTTTTTAATGTTTATTTTTGAGAGAGAGAGGGAGAGGGACAGAGCATGAGTGGGGGAGGGGCAGAGAGAAGACACACACACACAGAATCCAAAGGAGGCTCCAGGCTCTGAGCTTCAGATCCAGGCTCTGAGTTGTCAGCACAGAGCCCAACGTGGGGCTCAAACCCATGAACTGCAAGATCGTGACCTGAGCCTAAGTCAGACACTTAACTGACTGATCCTCCCAGGCACCCCTAAAAAAATTTTTTAAGGAGGCTAGAAAGGTGAGTAGATTCAGACTGGAAAATATGAGTAGACAGTGTGGAATTATATAACCATTTTTAAGTGATTAACTGGCATTTATGTGCTTGAACAAGGGCACATTTATAAATTAAATACTATATATGGATGCAGTATATATATGTATGTACTATATATATATACACATATATATATGTATATAGTGTGCATATAAAATTAGTAAGCCGTCAGAATGTCTTTTTTTCCCTTTAGCATTTCATAGCAAGATGATTTCATTCTCGTTGGAGGGTGGGTTAGGAGATCAGGAACACTGAAGTTTCAGTGTGGGCTGGTAAGTTTTGAAATTATTTTACCTTATAAATACCAACTTATTGAAGCTCAGTGATTTATATTGTTTTGAAAAGTTACAAATGTTTGGTGTGCAATAAGCAGCTTGTAATAAGTAAGCCTTTTTGTCTGTGTGTGTGTGTACACTTTCTCCCTTTTCTTGTGGTTCCTGACATGGGCTGACAGGGAACAAATATTGGAGAATGACTGCTTTAATTCAACTAGAATAGGATTGGCCACTGTGGATGTCATGCTGGCCTTAATCAGGTCAGAGTACTTTCTTCCTGCTTTCAGGGAGACTCCATAGTGACATTGCTTTCTTCCTGCTTTTAAATCAGGTTCTGATAACAGCAGGGGAGTAAGTACAGCATAAAAGAGTAAATAAGTAGTAAGTGACCATTATCTACCTATTATATGAAATTTTTAGTGGTTTTCATTCTGATGTTAGAACAACAGGCTGATGGCTGTAAGAGCCTATAGGCATTTTCTAGTAGTGATCTGCACTTACTACCCTAACTTAGATGAATTTCCTTCTAGTAGGTTGTTTTGTTTTGTTTTGTTTTCCAGATTTTATTCTTAAGTAATCTCTGCATCCAGCGTGGGGCTAGAACTTAAAACCCTGAGATCAGGAGTTGGGTGTTTTACCTACTGAGCCAGGCAGGTGCCCCCCCCCACCCCTTTCTGGTAGCTTTGAAGAGCACATACCTATTCATTGAGACAGAAGTTTCATGAAAGACTGGCGTTCAGTCTTGTTTTGGTTCCTCTGAAACTCATTTGATATCTCTGATCATGTCTTAGCTCCAAAATAAGAATGGGCTCAACATTCTCTTATTTTTAGGAAAAAGATGGTACCTCTTGGTATAAAGTTGGCACATAAATTTTTTGAATTTACATATGTATTATATACATTTATTAAAATAAAATTTATCATACTTATTAAAATAAAATTTGTCATACTTGCTGTGTTTTTTTTTTTTTCTAACGTTT